AAAAAATGTATTTTTCTTCTCCTTGGAACTCTAGCCAGAGAAGTGGATCCATAGGATCCATCTGGATACTAAATAGGTATAGGTAGTGAAATTGTTAGTCACTCAGTCATGTCCGACTCTTTGTGACCCCATGGACTATAACCCGCTAGGCTCCTCTCTCCATGGAAATCTCCAGGCAAGAATACTGGAGTGGGTTGCCATTCCTTCTCCAGGGGATCTTCCTGACCCAGGGGTCAAACCCAGGTCTCCCACATTGCAGGCAGACTCTCTACTGACTGAACCACCAGGGAAGACCTGGTGGGGTTAGGTAGACAGAAGACTTCAGTTGGGGATAGGAATAGGTAGACAGAAGACTAACTGGCTTTTCTGTTGTTCTCCCAAGTCTTACTTGGGTGTGTGAAAAACGTGTCTGACTATCTGTTCTGAACATACGGATGCAGAATCATGGCCACAACCTGTTCACATCAAGCTCAAGTGAACTTCCTCTAATGTGGCTGCTTTTCTCAAAAGGGCCCATGACTAATTGGAAATGGGCACTCCCTAGCAGCAAACTGGTGACTGCAATTTTATAGGTGTTTATGAAAACTGATTGGGTACAAAATCATTAAGGTACCTTTCCTGCTTCCAATCATAGTAGCCAAAAACTGCGGTCCTGGCACCATTCATAATCTCTGGTAATTGATCTCCAGACAGCATTGTTATCAGTTGCAATAGGAAATAATGGTTCACCACAACCAGTATGTACTGAAGCTGTGCCTTTAAAATCATCTTACCATTAGCAAAGTGAAGTCGCTTAGTCGTGTCTGACTCTTTGCGACCCCATGGACTGCAGTCCACTGCTCTCTGTCCATGGGATTTTCCAGGCAAGAGTACTAGAGTGGGTTGCCGTTTCCTCCTCCAGGGGATCTTCCCGACCCAGGGATCGAACCCGGGTCTCCCACATTGTAGGCAGATGCTTTTACCGTCTGAGCCACCAGGGAAGCCCATTAGACAAGCACCCCAAAAAAACTTTCATTTCAGATGCTTCACATTGATTTTCTTTATGTAATTGTTATTGACTTCAGTCTTCTAATATTATTGTACTTACACTTTTACTTATGAAGGTACTTAGAAACAAGATTGAAATAAGTGATATTTTCCATTATGCATTCTTTGCAGAGAATGCAACCTATGGATTAAACAAATTAACAAAAATCAAATCTAACTACTGTACTTTAGGACTGAATTGTTCTAGAAACATGGTAACAGCCATTCATTTTATGCTTGTTGATTAGTAAGTTGTTCACAAATCTTTGAACATATTTTAGCCTCTGCAATTTCTTTACTATTCTAAGTGCTGGCACAGTTCCTGAAACAAGGTAGATACTCCATATGCAACAGCTGAATTGAACTTATGTGATTGCATTAGTTCTGGGTATAAACGTGTGTATGCATGCATGTGTGTGGTCTTTGTTAACGGAAAGATATCTCTTTTAAAATTCCCAGCAAATTATTTGAATATTAATAACATAACCCAGGCAACTGACTAACTGTCTTATACAGATTGCATGCTCCATTACAACTGGTTATATTTTCCTTCACATTGACCATTCTAAAACTGGCAATTTAGCGTGGCTTCTTTCTGATATCCACATTCAAAATAAAAATTCCTGGTCCTGTGAGCAAAACACTTAAAAATTCTTCAATTTCCTGTTACTTAAATGTGTCTAGGGCATCTCTGAAGTTGAATAAATGCTTTAGGAAATCCACCTATAGTATCAGGCTATGGACCTCTAGAAGCAGTAAATCAGTTCTGCAGAAATGGAGGAAAGTGACAGAGACCTCTGTACTTTGGAATTAGAACGGGAAACAATGTTTTTGAAGGAACTAAAGGGAGACAGGTGCAGACCAAATGAATTAAGGACTCCGGGGAGCTGTGCACGACTGGTAAGGAAAATGAGAGGGAAGAATATGAGAGAAAACACAAGGAGGAGGCGGTAGAGGAGAGTTTCTTTAACAAAAAAATGATTAAACAGACTGCCAAATTGCCAGGAGAGAAACAAGCTGAGTTTCCTTTCATGAAATCCCTGGGTATCAACCGTCCCTTCCTCCCCATGTCTTCGAAATGATTAACAAAGAGTTAGCAAGTGTGAGTGAGGATGATCGTGGTTTTAAATCGTACATTTCATTTCCATGGCCGTTATGATTTATCCGAGTCTCATTCTGCCAAAATTCCCTTTTCATTAATGAGGAACTCTTTCTTTAATCATTATTTACAGAATTCCTTAGACACAGAGAGTGATTTGAATCACTGGAGAAGTAACTGACCAGATGTTTCTATTTCTTCCTTCTAGAACTCTTAGATGGGAATTGAGGAGGTATCCTGAAAGTCTTTTCCCTCCACAGTTCGCTGGTCAGGTACTTAATGAGAAATCTTTTTCTTTATTTAGGATATATATATATATATATATATATATATATATATATATATATATATATCTCCGAAATATATATGTTTTCACATATACAGGTATTTGTTTTGTTTTGGAGGAGGGTAGTGGGTTTTAGGAATGTTCGTTTACATACTGATGGCTAGACACAGGTTTTATAGCCATCCCTTCCCCATTGCTTTTTCAACTGCCAACAGAGAGATGGTTCTGGAAGCAGTTGCTATCCCCCTACAGAGTCGGGTTGTCATCTTTTGTTTCTTTGTTGGCAGAGCGAGGGGTGATGGTGAGCGGCAGTGATCCAAACGATTCCTGCCCGAAGCTGAAGGCAGTGTTTAAAAAGGAACGACGGGAATAAACGTTCTCTCGATTCTCTGATTCTTACCCTGAGAGTATTCAGCTCGCTGGAGTTCCTCCCCTCGTTGGTGTGCTGGGCTTACAATGTTCCCTCTCTGCAAATACCTGTATCAAAACCTGGGAAGATGGGAACGCACGGTTCCGAGATCTCCAGTGGCGTCACCCCGTACTATCTCTCTTTAGGAAACCGGATCCGGTCTCCCCGCTCGGGAGTGCAGGGACCGTCCAGCCCGGAAGCCACGCCCGTGCAGCTGCCACCACCCAGGGAGAAGAGCAGCTGGAAGCTTCGATGAGCGCCCGCCGCGCCGCGAGCAACTCTTGCTGTTAATTAGCGCCAGCCAAGGCTCCAAATGTGCCTTATTGCAACCCCTAGCGGACTCTCAACTCGCCAATAGTTTCTCGCTTTCCTGGCCCTGCTCTTGCGGAGAAAAATTACAAACGTGCGTGCACGCATCCACATTCACACACGCCCTTCTTTCTTCACTCAAGAAAACCATCGGTAACGTCTGTCTCCTAAAGAAAATTCAACTCTTCGCGCGCTCTTTCTCTACCTAGAGGCTGGCAGTCCCGGCAAACGCGCACGGGGCTCTCTCCGCTGCTTTGCGCGCCCCCTGCCTGCCTACGGCGGGGGTGGCGCTGGGGGAAGGGGGTCTGGGAGGACGCCGGGCTCGAGTCTCCAGTCGGTGCCGCTCCCCTGGCTCGGCACTTGGTATCTCCCACCGTCTTCCTCTCGCTGGGAAGCCGGGAAGGAGAAGGCGACTGTGGGCGTCGCCGCCGCCCTTCCCGGAACCGGAGCCAAAGCCCGATCTGGGGTCGACGTCTCTCCTACTTCAGACTCACATCTGGCCCAGCCGTGCAGATATTGGCGGCTGGAGAGTTACTCCACGCGAGGCGCCCCAAGTCCTGAGCATGCCCAGTAGGACTCCTTAGGTTCCCAAAGCGAGTTTCTGAGCGTGCAGATTCCGCCTTTCCGCTTTTTCGCGGAAGCTCAAGAGGGTGGGAAAGGAGGGATCCAGGGCTTGGGGCACGGACCGAACCTGGGTGAGGGGCGGAGCCGGTTGGGGAGCCCAGGGAGCTGGGCGACCAGGCCAGGCAGCGGCTGGAGCGCGGGGCCGGGCTCCGGGGGTGGGGGTGGGGGGAAGAGTGTCAGCGCTGACCCGACGCGCCGCCTGGAGGCTGCGTGTGGCCGGCCTTGGCTCACTGAGGTCACGCTGTCAGCGGGAGGCAGTCGGCGGTTCTCTCTCCTGGACCGGCGCTAAGAAAGCCTGCGGGTCTCTCTCGCACCGCACTCACGGGCTGGGCTTTTCTAGAAGGCGGGGTAGAGGGGGAAAGGAGGAACCCAAACATTTCTCTCTCTCTCCGCCACCTCGCTTTTTTCTTTTTTTGCTAAAGTTATGCTGGCAAGAGACTTTGCATTCTCAGTCAGTCCTCAGGCTTTACACATCGCGGTAGTGATCACGCTTCTGTGTGTGTGTGTGTGTGTGCAACAGCGCGTGCGTTTGTGTATGTCTTGACTATAAAACACTCTCCCAGGTTGATTTGGGGATGACAAACACTTCTCCGAACCCCACCCCCCCACCCCCCACCTAACCCTCTGGAGAAAATAGAAGCTGGTCATGAGAGTACTCTGGCCGGGAACTCATTGTGGTACGAAATCTAAATTTTGTTGATCCATATTCCCTTCCTCTGCTCCCCCACCCCCAGCTTTCTCCTTCCCCTCCCTCCACCCTCTAACACCGTGATCTTTCTCATTTTGATTTTCCTTTCCTTTGCCCGCTACCTGCTCCCTCAGCCCTCCTCTTCTGCTCCTCCTCTGGAGCTCCCCCTTCCTCCCCACCCCATCTCAGCTGCGGCTAAAACCTGGAGTCTTGGTGGAAAAGGGAGGAAAAAAAAAAAACCTTGTCTGTGGAACTGTCAAACCGGGCATGCTCAGTAGACAGGGCAGGTTTTTTGGTCTCGAGTAGCGGAGAAACATTTTTTGCACCACCGCGACCAGCCTTAGAGCGCGGCGGCGGCGGCCACAGCAACATCAGCACAGACCTCAGCCGTGCAGACGCCCCGCACCCGGGAGCGCGGCGGGCTCCGGCTTAGCCCGGAGTTCACCTCCGAGTGCCCCGGGGGCTGAGCTCATCCCTTCTGCTCGCACACACACGCACACTCTCTTTCACGGACACACACGCGTATACACACTCTCGCACCCACATACGACCCCGGGCGCTAGCACCCTCCGGGCAGCGATCGTCCGCTGGCGCGGTAGTAGCCAGGTTCGGTACCTGGCCCCGGCGGCTGCCGGCTCAGAGCACCATCGCGACCGACCGGAGGAGAGCGATGCTGGGGCCCGAGCGGCAGCTCGAACAGTAATGTGGATTTACAGTCGTTTCCCGCAGGAACCGGCTGAGACGCCTGCGGTCCTGGGCTCCGGCAGCGCCCGGCGGGGCTGAGCACCTGGCGAGGGGGCGGGGGACCGCACCTGGGGACGCCACGGAAACTTGCGCCTGGACTAGGTAGGTGCGTTGCTCCCGGCTCCCGGCTCCCACCTCCTTCCCTTTGGTTCGCGGCCCCTACCCTCGCACCTCCCACCCCGAGGACTCCCGGCGAACTTCGCCCCGAGGCTGCAGGCGGCGGATGGCGGCTCCCGGCCCTGAGTGGCGGGCAGCGTCCGCTCAGACAGCCCTACCCGAGGTGGCAGAACCTCGGCTCCTTCTTCTCCAGGTCTTCGCCCAGCCCGGGGCTCTGGACCGCCCGGGGCATATGGGAGGTCGGCCTTGGCCGCAGTTCGAGCTTTCAGCGGGCCCTGGGGGCGCTGCCCTGCTCACTAGGCTTCTTGGGCGACACTTTTGCCAACCAACTCCTCCGGTTCTGAAGGGCCGGGGGCGGGGGCCTCGCCTCGGCTGGCGCGCAGAGCCCGGGCGCTCTAACAAGTGGACCTGGCCGCTGGGGAGCGGGGCGGGCTCGGTCCGAGAAGAGACGAGGGGGCGCCTCTCCTCCAGCGTTTTCCCCACCTGGAGCGTCCGCCAGGGGCTCGGCCACTCGGGTCCCGCTCCTATCTCTCTGAGAGAAGATGTCTAGGGTCTAGGACGCACTTGAGTAACCTGTTTGCTTTCGAATTTCTCTTGGAACCACACTCGGGGAGTCCAGGTTCCGGGGGAAACTCCAGGACCTCCTTCTAAGCCACGCCGTCTGGGGCCCTACCCAATGCGTCCTTCCTACACTCCAATCTTTGTCAAGAGACAGTCATTACGCTGCAGTCGGTGCTCTGGGAGCCGTCGGTGTTGGCTTTCACCACGCGCTCAGCTGCGCGGGTTTGTGTGTTTTCGCATTTTATCCTGAGATGTGGTCCGGGCCATCTAGCAGCGGCTAGCACGTTTGCAGAGTGCCAGGTACCCTCTCGGCATACCTGGGGAAATGGAACCTCACTCTTACCCTACAACGGGCAGGTTGCCAGTTCAATTTTAGGAGGTGGAGAAGGGGAGACAGCGCGACTTGGTGAGTGGATGTGTTTGCAGTCAGGAGTATATTTAAACATTTCAGCAAACCTAGTGCGGTCGGTTGTTTACAATTGCGGAGACGGACGATCTCACTCCTCTCGTAGATGTTGTCTCGACATCTATTTCGCCACCGGGAGAGTAGGGGCGGGGGCGGGGGCTGGTTTGCAGCTCGTCCTAGCCGTCGGCAGCTTTGGGGCTTAGCGGATCTGCATCACTGCTACTGGCGATATGATAATATGGGTAGGTCTCCAAAATGAAGCAATTGGTCGGAAGACGTCTTGAACTTTCCTTTTTTTTTTTTTTTTTTTAATTTACCTGGAATGTTAATTCGGAGGAGTATTTGAGGTGGCCCGAAAAAATACAAAAAGAAGTTCCTAGTGCCATAGTAAAGAAATTAGTAGCCACTCGGTTTTAGAAACCAAAAGGAAACGAAACACCCCAGTGGATCCTATTAGGCACTGTTAGATTAACACTTAATTGATTGCGTTTGCGCTAAGGGTCACAGACAGCTTCCTTGAATTTTAGATTGTTGTTCTGTGATCATAATTAACAAAGCAGGTACACTATACTATGAGAATCAATCGCTACTCTCAACCTGTTTGGGGAAAACGTTGCAAGTATCTGCTTTATCTTTTGATTGAAATATCCTTGTCTGTCTTCTTAGTCCTAAGACTTCCGATTTGGAGCATAGGGCACCCCTGGGCTGCTAAGAAAGAGCACAGTCTAAGGGGGAAAGGCTTTATTATTATTAAAAGGAAATCCACAGCCTTACATTCTGCTCCCTGGTTACCCAGCATTTACTTACTTGCTTACCACCCCCCTGCTCTTAATACCTGCAACGTGGGGGGAAAATGAATTTTCATAAGGCATTAATATGACCCTTTAAGTAGATAACTGGAAAAGCAGAATCTTAATTTTGCCATTTTTGTCCAAGTTCTTAAGACGTTTTATGTGTGTGTGATATGTTAAATAATTTACCATTGGAAAGTTGTTTTTTAAAGGGTAGTGTGTAAGTATGTCAAAGTAATGTTGGAATCTTTTAATGATACTAAAAGAAAGTCCCAAGATGCATTCGGAAAGGGATTCAGGTAATTTCTAAAATGAATCCATGCTCTAAATGTTACTTAAAAGTTTTCAGATTGTCCCCCAGAATGGTTTTGAAAAACAGGTGTTTCTGGAAAACAGCTCAATGAACAAATGTTAACATTTGTATAATAAAACCAATAGAGTCTAGTCCCTAGAACCATGCCAGACACATAGTACAAACTGAGTATTTTTTGAATACATGAATTTGTATTTACCATTAGTTCTAGGTTCCCATTATGAATTAAGAATAGTCATGTCATTTGACAAAATATACAATGAGACTGAAGGAAAGAATGCTTTGTGGAGTCATTGTGCTATAGGATTAAGTGAGATTCCAAATATTGAAACAAATAGCTGTGTTAAAAAGTAAAATCAGATTGTATATTAACTACCATCGCATTCAAAGGCCTAATTCGAAATCTAAATACTCTAAAGGTCTTGGTGTTTCACTTCACTATCATCTGTGTAAATAATGCTGACATGATCGTAGTTTCCCTTATAGTCATTGTACCTTTCTGATGCCTTTAATACTAAGATTCTTGCTGAAACAGAACAGTCCAACATTCAAGTTTATTCTGTACAATATGACTTTAACTGGCCAAACTGCACAGTATTCTTTTGATATGTTGCCTCTGAAAACAGAAAGCTTATTTTCCATGACAGTCTTCAAACTTGGAAATGGTTAGAAGGTTCAGTATTAACATAAAGTTTTTTTTCCATTTTATGTTAGAAATAGCAATTAGAATCCATGTAATTTTTACTTGAAGCTTGCTTTTCCTGAAAGTCCATCAGTTTCAGTTTTCAGTATAGTTGTCAAGTACTTGGTATAGATTATGGTTAATAAATTTCCTAAGACTTCCCAAACAAGTGATTTATCTATCTATTTACTTACTTACTGACCTGAGGTCAAAAGAAGGGCAGTACTTTGAATACTTGATGCAAAGATTAATTAATGAAAGCAAATTTTCTTATAATATTCACGTATTTGTTCTAGCATTCTCTCTCACACACACACACACATCATGCACACACACTTTTAGAAAGAATCTCGTGAGAATGCCATGCATCAGATATGAAACATGTATGATAATTGTATTAATATTATATATGTTTCTTTAAGCTCCTGTATGTAGATTTACCCTTGAAAGTAGTAATCTATGCATGCTTTTTTTTTTCTTTATAAGAAGTTTCCCTTCCTTTACCACTTGAAAGAATGATTTGAATTGGATTACTAGTACAACTACAGGCAGATTAAATGATAAAGAATATTGTGAAGGATAGTATTTATTAATAGCAATTGTGATCAATAGAATATATCAATGACTGGAAATAAAGCTGCTGAGTATAAAAAATTAAAAGGAATCAGCTTTCAAAACTGTTTCCATATACAAAAACTGCTTTAAATCATCTGCAGATTCTGACTATTAGATTAAATTACTGTTTTGAATTGAAATTACTCCATTTCCTTCCCCTAGATGGTAAAACATTCTGATTCCTGGCTTAATATATAATTTCTTTTCCTTTCTGTTTTCTATTGATTTTTTTTTAAGAAACGAGGAAAGTAACTATCGTATAGAACCAGCTAGAACTGTGCTTAGTTGGAGCAGGTGAATGCTATAAAAGGTTTCACACAGCTTTTAATTATTCCAAACAACCTTGATGGTCCAACCATATGTGTGTCTACCGTATGTGGTACCCTGTAATGACAATTTATATAATGTATAGAGATTTTATAGTTTGCTAGATGTACTGTGGTACAATTTAGCAAGACCAATGAAATTGCTTACATTTGGAACTCATGAAAAATAGGGCTGAGTGAATTGGAGTATGATGGCATAAACTGAAAATTGTTTTGTAACAATATTTGTACTGAATTGTTCTGTGAACATTTCTGTATATAATCAAAGCAAACTAGTTTTAATTGGAGATAGTAAATATTTTTACAGTTGATGTTGAATCACTAATGCTTTAAAAATAATCATTTAGAGTCTAATAAATAAAGCCTGTTAAATTCTTATGTAACTTTAGGACTCATTTCTAGACCTGGAAGTATAATCTTGGATAATTTACAGCTTAAAAAAAATTCTGACTTTTACTTCCTGTCCAGGCCTCCACTTTAGGTAAACAATAGCATATGGTGAAACATGCATATATGCCAACTAACCACTATCTCTTGGATGATGTTTTCAATGTGATGTAATGATTCTGAAATATTGGGTTCTCCATTCCCACCTACTTAAAATGGAATGGAGAAGGGAATTGGAAAAATGGACACAGGAAAATGTGTTAAATCATCTCTTTTTATATCAGTGAATCACGCCCTGAGAAGCTTACTCAGAGCCTTCATATCTGTGTTTATGGTAGATATGTGCCAAGATTAATATTTTTTCCTGGGTACTTATGACAGGTCTCTATGGCTGTATCTAGGTGACACCTAAATATGTGAGTGAAAAGTTCCGTCAACCACCCAGCTGTTTGAGGTGATGCAAACAAACATCTGGTTGGTTGAGAGAATTTTTTACTTGGTCTCTGGATATTCTGGAGTCATTTAACAAGCTGATGAGTCTTAATACCTATGTCAAAAAAGAAAGACATAAAGTGAAACCGTTTAAAATACATGTAGAGTACCTTAAGCATTCTTGGGTTACTATAACACATATAATGAGCCAAATGCTACCCTGAATCTACAGCATTCTATGAAATGTTTAAGGAGATGCAGTGACAAGGCAGTGACAAAAACAGAAACACACTGGCCTTTTCAAAAAGCCAGGAAATAAAACACTTTAACTTCAATTCTATCTCCCCTACCTCCACCCCCGGTACTGATTCATCAGTTTAAAGAAATCAACTTAAAGAGTTTGATATGTTGGCTTCTTAACAATTTCCTGCACCTCACTTTTCACCGATTGTTCCACTGCCATGGAAACTAGACGGGACAGACAGCTGGGAGTCACTAATTCAGGATGGGAACCTGCTTGTTAATTTAATTTCATGCCATCCTGTTGGTCCCTGAGAGTAATTATAAAAGGCTAGGGGATTGAATTTGTGAGCAGTAGACAAGCAGAACAAAAATCAGTGCCATCACTGTCATTTTCCTGAAGATCTTACTGCAACCCCCATTGTCCCTAATCAAGCAGTTCTTTAAAACTACTCACAAAAAGAGAACTTTGATTTGTGCATTCCTATTAATATTTATTTATTTATTTATAGGGCTTCCCTGGTGGCTTAGAGGGTAAAGCATCTGCCTGCAATGTGGGAGACCCAGGTTTGATCCCCGAGTCAGGAAGATCCCCTGGAGAAGGAAATGGCAACCCACTCCAGTATTCTTGCCTGGGAAATCCTCTGGACGGAGGAGCCTGGTAGGCTGCAGTCCATGGGGTCGCAAAGAGTCGGACACGACTAAGCGACTTCATTTCACTTTATTGATATTTATGTGTATGCTACAGAGAGTTTTTTTGTTCTATGAGAACGTCACAGCTGTAAAATAGTTTCATATTAGCTATTGCATTGAAAAAAATATGTTCAGTAAAATTATGATTTTATAGACTTTTAAGAAGCCTAGTTAGAGATCACAGTAAAGTTAAATATAAATGAAGCTTGAATTTTCTGGTAAGATTGGTTATTTTCCCTTTTCAATTATAAATATAATTTTATTAAAATATCTATGCCCCACTTTTTTTTTTATTACAGAGACCAAATGGATTTGAATACATTTATTTGAAATCTGTAAAGCACACATTTTACCCATCACCATAAACCATACTGATTGTTTTAATTTTAATTGACTAATTTGTCAGTTGATAAGTAGTCAACAATGAGGAAATTGCCTTTTAGTGTTTCTCATATTCTTTTGTAACATTTTTGTGGCTGATTATGACTAACAAAATTGAATTTGGGGATCACAAACTCTAATATGAGCTGAATTGCAATCCGTGTTAAGCCTTTTGCAATATTATCAGCTATGGGTTCTGATAAACTAAATATTTTTTTTCCCTGAATTTATAGCTGTAAACAAATTTCTATATTATGGCTAAGAAAGAGTGATTCTCAAAAAGGATTTTGATAAGAAAAAAAAGAATGGAGATCTAAATCTATATTTATATGTCACCAAGTAATTTTCTGTTTCAAAGTGACTAGAACTTCAAAATACAAATGTCTCAGAATTATTAAAGATAGAATGAAGTAGTGATTTAAAAATTTAGGAAAAATAATATTTTCATTTTTACATTTTAAGGAATATTTTTGATATCATTATCCAGTTGTCAGGTATTGAATTGCATATATTTTGTTAACTGGTTTATTTTTGATCCATGTCTGAGTAGAATTACCAGAATATCTGAGTAAAACATGAAAATCTCAATCATCATTATTGATCATGTAGATTTCCTAGTATCTGTCTGTGTCATATCTTTGTCATGTTGATTTCCTCTAACTTTTCAGCAGATGCTTGAGTTTTGGATGTATAGTGAAAAAACTAATCATCTGAATAGTTCCAAATATAAATATAAATAGTTCCAGTTAATTTTAACTCTCTATCTAAATGATGTTATGAAGATACAACCTCAGTTTCCCTGTAAAAATTAATGCATGCATATTAAGTTGCTTCAATCCTGTCTGACTCTCTGCGACACCTTGGACTGTAGTCCGGCGGGCTCCTCTGTCCATGGAATTCTCCAGGCAAGAATACTGGAGTGGGTTGCCATCTTCTTCTCCAGGGGAATCTTCCTGACCTAGGGCTCGAACCTGTATCTCTTGGGTCTCTTGCATTGGCAGGAGGGTTATTTACCACTAGCGCCACCTGGGAAGCCCAGAAATTAATGTTTTCCTATTTAGATGAAAGATACTGTAAATATTCAGAATGCTGATTGAATATATGTATTTATATGTGTGAGCATGTATATGTGTGTGACTTTAAGTAGAACCCCTATATGGTTTTATCAAAGGAAATCCAGTTTCATTTTAATGTTTGGAATCACAGCTTAGTGTTTTTAACTGTGTATGTGAATGAGAGTTTTTAAAGCAGCCAAAATAAAAAGTACATTGCTATCAGTTTGCATACTTCAGGGAAAATCTGATCACCAGCTAAGGTCAAGGAGAAATTTTCCCAGTTTCAAGGTCTTGTATAATTAGGTGGATTCTAAGTGTTTATATTAATTCTAATGCCTCTATCTGGTTGAGACACCTGTCAAAGAGAAAGTGCCAGATTAACTGGACAATTGGTATATTAGATATTGCAATCCCTGTGTCCCAGCAGTGGATAGACATTTTAAGAAAACTCTTCAGTTGTTCAGAGAAATTAGAAAAAAGATACCGCAGATGGCCTATCCCAATAATCCAGGTTTTTTAAGGTACATTTAAAATTAAATGTCCTAAGAGATGATTAATTCAGGAAAGTTATTGATAATGAACTCATCTTATGCTACACATCCTTTGCACCTATGATGATGCCTTATTAAAAGTGTCTCAATCTTGCTAATTACCACCTGTGTTTAAATATAGAGTTGTATAAATACACTACAACCATACAGTGGCTGGAAGCTTTCTAAACCTGAAATGTTCCTAGCTAACTCAATTGCTATCAACAAAATGTTTCTGATCAACATTTTGAATTTATACTCTGTGCATTACCCCCCTTTAGCATTAATGATTTTCTTTTTTTAAAGCTGCTCTGCTTAATTGCAAGCATTTGAGTGATATTGATGTGTGTTCTCCAGCTCTATTAACTAGCCCCCAAATATATTTGTATTTGTGTGTGTGGATGGAATTTTTTCTAAAGTTAAATTTATTAAAAATTAAGTGTACATTTTGATGTGGATTTAAGCATCATTTATAGAAATGTATAAGTACATCACCTATTTGCTTGCTGCATGCTTGAAATGCACATATTTTTGTGATTGTAACTCACATCTTTAGAGCTTTAAGGAATGTAGGGAAGCATTGACAGAATTGCTGTGCAAGTCAAGTAAGAAACTCCTTTTAATTTCACTAATGAGATCTAGTGACTTCTAAGGGAGAAGGTTATGCTGTTGATTGGCCAGTTGATACCTATTACTTTAACTTGAGAAGACTCTTGTACCTTTAAATACCAATAACACCACTCTCATTTCTTCTTCCCTCCTTTCCTTCCTTTCTTTTTCTTTCTTTCTTTCAGCTGTTTCCTAAAGTTGAGGTAGTAGATACAGATTTATGAGAAAAGAAGCTCTGGGACATTCACTAAAGTTTTGGGAGTGATTAATCTTTTTATTATACTTCTAAATCTGACCTATTCTTTAAGTATATACTAGAAAATTATAAATATAATGTGAAATATTATTTGTATATTGTTTTTGGCTCATACATTCTTTCAGTTATCTTGGATAGGAGCTAAAATAGCACGCTAATATTCTGGGTTGATACCTTTTATTACAGATTTACTCGGTGCATGTTTCTATATGTTAGTGCACTTGTGATTGATTTTTCATGTTTATTCTAATAAAATGTCAACCTTTAGGTGTGACACCACTTATTTTTGGTTTCAATAAAGTATTAACACAAGAGTGCTACATTTTTCATTTGTTTTGTTCTTATCCTCTGTTTGAAATATTGCCTTAATGAAACATTGGACAACTTGTGAAAGTGAGGTAATCTTAATATAAACAATTAGAATTCAGTGCAAGGGAAATATTTTAAGGGTAATTTAACACAATAGAGAAAAATTTAACAATATATTTCTGTTAAACATGGAATAAAACATGTTTAAGGAAATGTATAAAATAGCACTAGACTAAGTAAGAAGGGAACACTGGTCCTAGACATTTAACAAAATACTTGGGACTGCTTTGTTGTTGAGAAAGCAGAAGAATCAGTGTTTACACAGAGCTCTGGGACAATAGGTCTTGAAATCTCAAGTGTTTTCCATAGACTCTCCAAGTCTCATGGACTGACTTCTTTTTACTGAAGACTTCAGTATTACACAGTTTTGGTTATACTTCATAAAACCATCTTCATGAAGAAAAAACTTCATCTGTTCAGTCAGTCATTCATTCATCAAAACTTTGTAAATGCCTGTTTATCCAGTAATACAGAGATATTAAAAAAAAACAACTTACCATATAATGGGGAGGCAGACATTTGAATTGACTTGTAAATAATAGCGAAGAATTTTTTTAGAGAATACAGAGACCCACAGTCCACATGGCTAAAGGATTGTGAAAGGGTTCAAGTCTAAATTAGCAATGGGGAATATCAACCCAGGAAAATAGAATCTTGTTTTATTTCCTGCCTAGGTTTGGGGAACAGAGGTCAGGGATAATGTCTTATTTCCTTCTGTGTGCCTGACACACAGAGGAGGCTTAGTACATATTTGTTCAATGACTGAGTGTGTTAGGATTTTCCTGCATGGAAAGAAAATCCTGGAGAATTGTGGGTTTTATGATTTTTATCCAGAATCGCATTGTACAGTGCAGTGTACTGCATTGTAGCAGAATCTACTGAATTAGATGCGGGGCTTTAAAGGGAGGGGGGGCAGGTCACCAACTTTGAGTTTTAGAAAGATGGCAACCAGTATGAAGGATGGATTGAAGTCCATGAAGAGTACATTAAGGGACTGTGTTGCAATTAGGAGGGTGTGAACCATGGCAGGGACAGCAAAGATGGAGAGGAGAGGGGAAAATTTGAAAGCTACTCATAAGGTAACAACATTTGGGACATGGAATTCAATTACCTTGAAAAGGGAGGAATGACACTGAGACTTTTGGCTTGGAAAATTGTGTAATGCCGTTAAGCAATACAGGGAACATAGAAGAAAAAGCCAGTTTTGATGGGGATAATCAGGTCACGTTTGGATTGACTTAATATGAGACACTATCTAGACTTCTTGATAGAGATGATTTGTCACATATAGAAATTGCAGATCTGAAGATCAGGTCTGGAAGAAGATTTGTGTGGCATCAGTCAATGTAGTAGTTGAAATCATAGGAAGGTGAGTTCACCTAGAGAGTATATATAAAGAAGAGAAGTAAGGATGAAATCTCGAGACACGCTGAACTTAAAACGTTGGTGACATAAGAGGAGCGTTCAAGAGAGAACAAGTCAAGAAAGAATAAAGTCAGAGAGGTAGAAGGCAAACCAGGAAATAATGAAATAAAAGCTTAGGGAGGAAAGGGTTTTCTAAATGCCATCTGAGCCAAGACTTGGGAAACTAATTCATTAAAGGAAATTCAAATGGCTAGTAAGCATGAAAAAAACTCAGTCTCCAATAATCAAAATAAATGCAGATTAGAAAAAATAAATACAAGGGGTTTTGTTTTGTTTTGTAAGATGACACTTGGTGTAATTGCTGAAGTCCCCAAACTTCAGAGTTTTCTTGATTCTTCTTTTTTCACACCTGACATTACTGTACCTTCAAGCCATATCCTTTGAATCATTTTCCTCTCATTCACCATTAGTGTTTTAGTCTAAGCCACTGTCTCTCACCTAGACTACTGAAATGGCCTTCTAATTTATGCCCTTATATACATTTTTGACGCTACATAGTTTTCCCCACAGCAACTAGGTTGATCCTTTAAAAAAATAAATAAGATCTTGTGATTTTCCCACCCTCTGCCCTCTGATGGCTGGCTTGTTATCACACATAAGATAAAATTTAAAAAATCTTTACCATGTCCTACACAGTCCTGCAGGATTTGGTCCTTATATATCTGATTTCATATCATTCTATTCTTCCCGCTGAATTTTGCTCATAACATTCTAGCCACCCTACCTTCCATTCTGTTCCTTAAACATGCCATGCACTTTTGTCTCCCAGGGCCTTTGCACTTGCTATTCCCTCTGCCCGAAATGAATTTTCTTACTCTGAACAAGTTTTCCTTCATCATAGAGATATTCCATGGCCATCCTATATAATGAGTCCTCTCTATGCCTTTATCTGCTTCTGTTTTTCCCTCATATTGCTCATCACTATTTGGTATCACTCTGTATGTTTATTTATATTTATCAAATCTACTAATATCTAAGATCCCTGAGGGCATGGACTTGGTGTCTGTTTTGCTCACTGCATGGACTGGGTATCTGTTTTGCATTCATGTCACCTAGTACAGAGCCTGGTACACAGTAGATGTTTAATAGGAATTGGTTGAATGAATGAATGAATAATAAGGACATGATGAAATGTTAGTTGGTATGGATTTGGCAGCTTGCAGCCAAAAACCTTAAAAATGCTCATACCATTTGACCCAGTAATTCTACTTCTGGGGATTTGTCCTAAAGAAATAGTGCAAAAAGCAGAAAAAGCTTTATTTGGCAAAGATTTTCATGAAGCATTATTTTTAAGAGTGAAAAAAATGAAGAAACTTAAATGTTCAGCAAAGAGAATTGCTAAGTGATTTAT